GGAAGAATAGGGGTACTTCAGGGGGACCAACATGGAATTGGGATTCGATGATTTAGAAATATATGAAGGTTGGCATCCATGCTTGGCTTCTCAAGGGCTATTGGTACTGATGAGGAAGGCTTGTTCTGTCTTTCAGGAGGGCTGGTAGGGGCATCATATATAGTCTATCTGGGTCTGATCCCACACTTGAGGATTGGCTATCTTGGATTTCAACAGGCAGATTGCCCAAGTTGTGTGTTGTCTCAGTACTAAGCAGCATTGCAAAAAACTTAGATTTAGGGACAATTAATCAGAAGTGCCCAGGGAGGACGGCATATTATTACTGAGTAAAGGAGTTGAACATTTTGGCATCACCAAAAAATGGTGGGAAGTGAGACCATCTTTAGTCGGGCAAAGTAGAAGCAAATTGTCAGGGGTAGGACTACCTATCAACTCCCATGATGAGATAACTCTTTGAGGATAAGAGTCCCACATGGGAACTGGGAGTAAGTGGCTGCTGTATCAACTAGAAAAATCAATATTGTTACCTCCAACACCCAGGTTTACCTAGGACTTCAGAAGTATGATGATCATTTGGGTTGTGAATTCCTGGACCCGTTCAGTCCTTGGATAAAGACATGAGGGAACTGGAAGTCTCCTCCCTTTGGAGATGAGGGCAATCCCATTTCCAGTGCCCGTCTTGTTTACATTGGGAGCAGGAACCAGGCAACTTTCCAGGTGGGCACATTCCTTGCATTAATGTCCCAGCCTCCCACACCCAAAACATTCTTTTGGGCTTTTTCCTTTGGTTGGACACCCCCTGAGTTGGCTCTGAGGTCAGAGTGCTGACTAAAGTGATTTCTATCATAAGAACTGTTTTCTAGACTGTTGATTCATATATTGAAATCCCCTTCCCTCCTCAGTTTTGTCCCTATTATCAAATAATCCCAAACTACTATATCTACCATTGGGTTCATGGGAGTTTGGGGTCCCATTGCCGGTTCATAAGATCTCCTCTGAATATCTGTTGTGAACTAACCGATGAAATGAGTACATATTAAAACCTGTCATGCATTGATGCTATGGTTTGTTAGCATATCTTTTTTTAAATCCTCTACCATTTGTCCCTGGAATAAGGCTGGGTTATCTTGGTTGTTACCTCCCTGATTTTTATCATGACTCATAGGCTTTATAATACATTTATGCAATCACTGGACAGGTCACCATATGACTTCAGTGTCTTGAATAATCATGACCCTGCTGCTAATTCTAGTTGGCGTCCATTTGAGGGATTTCCCTGTTGCCTATGTCATACTTATTAGTCTGCTAAGCTTCTAGGAAGTTGGCATGGGCCTTGGTCTTGACCCAGATTCATTGTTTTTCTTCAGGGATGCAATAAGTAGATAGGCCAATGTGAGGGTAATCACAGGTCAAGTTAAAGACCTGAGTTAGGACCTAAAATTCCTCAGTAAACTTGGTATGGTTTGCTGAAAGTCTGGCTTTTGTTGACACTAATATAAGTCAGTACTGTCATCTCTGTTAGCAACCTCTCTGAAGAGAAAAGCATCCTTGGACTAGGTAGCAGAAGACCCCACTGCAAGTGACTGTCTGGTCTATCCTCTGGTGGAGGGAGAGATTGGGTTGTAGGGTAGAGTAGGATGGGGGTACTAGTAGGATTTGAAAGAACTGGGGTTTGATGGAGAATGGGAGGATGTGTCAACCCTGAGGATGATCCAGGCAATGGGGACAAGCTGAGCTTAAGGTCTTTGCACCTTGGGTGATAATCTAATATTGAGTGGTCTATCTACCATGTCTATTGCTCTGTTGAATCTGGTATCCCAGGAGGAAATGGACACAGTGGAGTCTACAGCTCTCTCTAAGGATGGGGTTTTGAAAGAGTGCTGTGAAGGCCTGGACATAAGCAATTTCTGACACTTTTGCTATCTTTAAAGAAGAGGTCAAATTGGAGGATAATGTTACACTTGAGGGTCCTACTTGGCAGCCACATTTACCCATTCTCTATATTGTGGCCAGACTATGTTGTAAAGAAAATAACATGTTCTAATTTTTTTTTATTCAAAGTTTTCCCAGGTTAAAAGGGGGCAACCCAGGAGTTTCCCCTTGGGAATGGAAAGAGAATTACATTTCTTTTTATTTATTTTTTTTTTATTTTTGACAGGCAGAGTGGACAGTGAGAGAGAGACAGAGAGAGAAAGGTCTTCCTTTTGCCGTTGGTTCACCCTCCAATGGCTGCCGCTGCAGCCGGCGCACCGCGCTGATCCGATGGCAGGAGCCAGGATCCAGGTGCTTTTCCTGGTCTCCCATGGGGTGCAGGGCCCAAGCACCTGGGCCATCCTCCACTGCACTCCCTGGCCATAGCAGAGAGCTGGCCTGGAAGAGGGGCAACCGGGACAGAATCCGGCGCCCCAACCGGGACTAGAACCTGGTGTGCCGGCGCCGCAAGGTGGAGGATTAGCCTATTGAGCCACGGCGCCGGCTCAAGAGAATTACATTTCAAACATGGGTATCTTCATGGCCTAAAGAGAAAAAGGAAAATAGGGAATAGAGTGAGAAGAATTTGAAAGCCCCATTAGTAGACCAGATCAGATCTGGCATCCCAGGGTTTTGAGCATATCCTTGGGTACTCTCTGGACTCCCCTGTGGACCAATCCGGACCTGGTGTCCCATGATCTTGAATATGATCTGTGGTGTTTTTGGGAGGCCCCCTCTTCTCGCACAGGCTCAGAGGCCCTTGGGGCATTCTGGTGGGGAAGGGACTATGCATACAGAATTGGTCATGATAGATCTTTGGTTTCATTATTAGCATTTTAGCAAGGTGATAACTTGATTGGCACATCAGGTCCAACCTGTAGTAATTGATAGGACTGTAAAAATTATACTGAAAGTTGTCAATTGAGGGTAGAAGGCCCCTCTTCGAAACAATATGGAGAGACTCTTATATGGAATATTTTTCTTAAAGATTTTATTTATTTGAAAGGCAGAAATAGAAGAAAGATGGGGCTGGTGCCGTGGCTCACTTGGTTAATCCTCTACCTGGCGCTGGCATCCCATATGGGCTCTGGGTTCTAGTCCCGGAAGACCTTTCTCTCTCTCTCTCTCTCTGTCAAATAAATTAAAGCGAGAAAGAGGGAGAGATCTATCATTGGTTCACTCCCCAGATGGCTGAAGCTGGACCAGTCTGAAACCAGGAGATTTTTCTGGGTCTTCCACATGAGTTACAGGGGCCCAAAGACTTGAGCCACCTTCTGCTGCCTTTCTGGGCACAACTTCAGGGAGCTGCATTGGAAGTAAAACAGCTTGGATGCAAATGGGCACCCATAACATCAAGGGTGGAGGCTTTACCTGCTATGCTTGCCCCTGAAGTGGCTTCTTTAGCCCCAGGAGATAATGCATTAACCCACTAATCACATGAATGGGTTTATCCTGATCACCTCTCTTAACGTCTTATCTAGTCCCATCTCTATATAGCTAATAACTAAGAAATATACCCATGAGTTTTAGTAACCTTAGCAATGAAAACATAAGTACCTGGATATCTTCTACACTGCCAAAACCAACCGTTGTACCAAAATTCACACTATCAACTCTTTTCCTCCATTTTATGCAACCTCAGATTTCTACCAAGCAAGAACTTTAAAAAGTTTGTTTTCTGCTTGTCAGTACTTTACAAGAGAAGAGACAGATAGCACTACCTTATACTCAGTATAAAAATCTGTGTGCTGGGTTTGGTAGTGCTGTGGCTTAGTAGGCTAAACCTCTGCGTGCATTGCAGGCATTCCATATGGGCACAGGTTCGTATCCCAGCTGCTCCCCCTCTGATCCATCTCTCTGCTTGTGGCCTGGGAAAGCAGTGGAAGATGGCCCAAGTGCATGGGCCCCTGCACCCATGTGGAAGAATCTAGAATATTCTTTAGAGCACCCATGAGTCATGTTTTTGGCATTGCCATGGATATGGAAGATGACAACACTAATGAAAGATGGAAAGCAGTTACCCAAGGGATGTGGTTTGGGGGCAGTAGGTGCATGTTGATGTCTTCTAGGTGTTAGAGCCAGGAATGTGAGAATGGCCATATGTTAAAGGGCTTCCTAGAGACAACAGGGGATCTAGGGGGTCAGAACAAATGAATTGGTCTTCCATACACAAGCAGAGGCTTACTGTGAGGTAACCAAACACTGCATTGGTCAGGGTGGTATTATATGTGATGGGGCACTCATCTTGAAGGAGCAAAAATGTTGGCGGTTCAGAAGGCACAAGCAAGAGAAAATGGACAATAAAGAATGTCCATGGCCAGATGACCATATGTTTTAGAACCAAATGTTTTAGATGCAAATACTTAACAATTTTCTTTACCCATTTAAAGTCCTAATACATATTACAGGCCCTTCATAAATCAGATATATCTTAACCCCTTGCCATGTTTCTGACAGATATCTTCTCAGTTTTCTAAAGACTTGCGTCTATATAGAGCTTACCTAAAATTATGTGAAGCACAATTATATATAACATAACTATACTGAAAACTATAAAGCTGTATACTGAAGTATTACCTGTTGACTAAATAAGTCTTCCATTGACGGAATTGACCTAGAGTCAGCTGAGTTCCATTGCAGCAGTGTTCTCAAAATGTGCTGTGTGGAACGTCTGTATGAGTCATCTGGGATGTTTAACAATGGGTATTTTTAGACCATGGCCTCAGACCATGATGAGGCGGTTTTGACATGGGCTGGCAAGGGTTAGGAGGCCATAGGGTGAATATACAGAAATTGGAGTAAATGTTTCTAAATTCCAGTCCGATTGAAGAACTTTTTAAAAAGGTATAAAATGATTTTTATAAGCCCTAAATGCCGGCAAGTCTTCCAAAGATGTTCTTAGGTTTTTATTCATTTTGTACTTCCTATACTTCTGGAAGGCTTGAACTTCTAAGTTATGGGTTCATACTTAGAGCTAGTTCTAGTAGGTTTATTGGAGATCTTCATACTGTTTTTTTTCTCTCCCTCAGGTTGAAAACTTGAAACAGAACTTTCAATCTTGGTTCCAAATGTCCCGCAGAAAGCACGTGGCAGATGGCCACGTGGGCCTCCTGGGAAGTGCCTGTCACACTGTATATAAGAACCCCAAGTGTTACAGGCCTGCTGCTATGCATCGGGTGGACCGGTACCACTGGGTCAACACAAACCGATAAGACAGTGACTAGGCATGCAGCCGGAAAAGGCTACAAGACTGGCTTCGTTTTACCAAAATGAAAATGAATCTGAGGCTGAGAGGCCCATGAAACAATGTTCAGGTTGGGACTAAAGTGTATGTTTACAAGTCTTATCAGATGATGACTCTGTTCTTAAAAGTACTTTTAATTCTTAATTTTATGTGACGTTTTATGTAATACTAGTAAATGTACCCAGTGAAGTAATAGAATGAAGATGCTGACCTATAAGATTCAATGAATTATGAAAAGTAAGCTTAAATAAACATACCATGTTTTTAATACCATTCTGATTCCGTTTGTTGCAAGACAGTTTTTTTTTTTTTAATTATTAATTGAGAGAGAGAGAGGAAGAGGCAGAGAGAGAGGCTTTTCATCAGCTGGTTCACTCCCTAAATGGCTGCAATGGCCAGAGCTGATCTGCAATGGCAGATCTGAAGCCAGAAGCTTCCTGTGGGTCTCCCACATAGGTGCAGGGCCCCAGCACTTGGGCCATTCTCTACTGCTTTCCCAGGCCATGGCAGAGAGCTGGATCAGAGGAGGAGCATCCAGGACAGGAACTGGTACCCATATGGTATGCTAGTGCTGCAGGTGGAGTCTTAGCCTACTACGCCATAGCACTGGCCCCAAGTTTGTGTTTTCTCTTTAATCTTCTTGAATTTTAACGCAGATACTGGCTTATGGAAGAGTGTTGTTGATTATGTAATATTTTGGCTTGTACTTTATTACCTGTCATGACTGTTTTATTTCACAAGTCCAGTAAGAACCTTTGGAAAATTACTCTGAAGAATATGAGACTATCTTCTGTGGCTTTCAAAAGAGTTGGCTTAATTCTAAGACTCTGAATAGATCTAATAATTATGATATTTTATATAAAAATTCACTTTTATATTCATCCTTATGTAACATTTTATTCTGAGAATTCAAACTAAGCAGAAAAACCTAGTACCAAGGAAATAAAAGTCCCTAGCACACAGCCAGAAATGACTGTTATTGCCATTAACTGGTGACCATTATTCTAATTGTCCTAGGTATATATACAGAATAATTGTTCTGTAATAATTTGATGGTGTTGGGTCATAGAATTAGATCTTTAACCCATCTTGAGAGGATTTGTGTGTAAGGTATAACGTAGGGGTCTTGCTTCGTACTTCGGTATGTGGAAATCCAGTTTTCCCCAGCACCATTTGTTAAGCTGTCCTTGCTCCAAGGGTTGGTTTTTAGCTCCTTGGTCAAATATAAGTTGGTTGTAGAAGCTTGGATTGATTTCTGGTGTGTCTATTCTGTTCCATTGGTCTATCCATCTGTTTTTGTACCAGTACTTGGCTGTTTTTATTATAATTGCCTTGTAGTATGTCTTGAAATCTGGTATTGTGATGCCTGCAGCTTTATTTTTGTTGTATAAGATTGCTTTAGTTATCAGAGGTCCCCTGTGTTTCCATATGAATTTCAGCATCATTTTTCTAGACCTGAGAAGAATGTATTTGGTATTTTGATTTGGTATAGCATTGAATCTGTAAATTGCTTTTGGGGGAATGGACATTTTGATGATAATGATTCTTCTAATCCATGAACATGGAAGATTTTTCAATCTTTTTGTGTCTTATTTCTTTTAAAGTTTTGTAATTCTCATCATATAGATCTTTGTCTTTAGTTAAATTTATTCCAAGATATTTAATTTTTTGGCAGTTACTACAAATGGGATTGATCTTAGAAGTTCTGTCTTAGCCAAGACATTGCCTGTGTATACAAATACTATTGATCTTTGTGTGTTGATTTTTCTATTCTGCCACTTTAACTAACTGTTTTATGAGTTCCAATAGCCTTTTAGTGGAGTTTTTTGGATTTCCTATATATAGAATCATGTAATCTGCAAATAGGGACAGTTTGAGTTCTTCCTTCCCAATTTGTATCCCTTTGATTTTTTTCTTTTTCTTGCCTAATGGCTCTGGCTACGATGTCAAGGACTATATTGAATAGCAGTGGTGAGAGTGGGTATCCCTGTCTGGTACCGGATCTCTGTGGGAATGCTTCCAACTTGTCACCATTCAATAGGACACTGGCTGTGAGTTTGTCATAAATTGCCTTGATTGTGTTGAGGAATGCTCCTTTTATACCCAATTGGCTTAGAGTTTTCATCATGAAAGGGTGTTATGTTTAGCACATGTTCTTTCATGAACCACTGTTCATTCAGGAACATGTTGTTCAGTCTCTGTGTTTGCATAGGTTCTAGAGATGCCTGAGTTGCTGATTTCCAGCTTCATTGCACTGTGGTCTGAGAAGACACATGGTATGATTTTTTTTTTTTTTCCAAGGCTTGGTTTATGGCCTAGCACATCCTTAAGCATCTGTAGGGCTGGATGGATGTTGACAAATTCTTCCAATTCTTGTTTTTCATGGAAGGTCTTTATTTTACCTTCGTTCACAAATGAGCTTTGTTGGGTATAATATTCTGAGTTGACAGTTCTCTTAAGATTTGGAATGTATCTCATCATTCTCTCCTAGCCTGTAGGGTTTCTTTATTTTTTATTCTATCATTTAAACTTTTTTTTTTTTTTTTTTTTTTTTTTTTTTTTTTTTGCCAGGCAGAGTGAGACAGTGAGAAAGGTCTTCCTTCCATTGGTTCACTCCCCTAATGGGCGCTATGGCCGGTGCTGCGCCAATCCGAAGCCAGGAGCTGGGTGCTTCCTCCCTTTTCCCATGCAGATGCAGGGCCCAAGCACTTGGGCCATCCTCCACTGCCCTCCTGAGCCACAGCAGAGAGCTGGACTGGAAGAGGAGCAACCGGGACTAGTATCTAGCCCCAACTGGGACTAGAACCCAGAGTGATGGAGCCATAGGCAGAGGATTAGCCTAGTGAGCTGCAGCGTCAGCCTTGTAGGGTTTCTGATGAGACATCATCTGTGAGTCTTATTGGAGATCCTCTGAAAGTAATCTGATGTTTCTCTTGTGCACATTTTATAATCTTTGTTTTACTGTGGAGAGTTTGATTACAGTGTGTTATGGTGGAGATATTTTCTTGTCCTATTAGGATTTCTAAGTGCTTCTTGTTCTTAGATGTCCCTTTCTTTCTCATAGGGAAATTTTCTGTTACTTCACCAAAAATGCCTTCTAATCCTTTCTCTATTTCCACGCCTTCAGGAAATTCTAGTACCTGTATGTTGGGTCGTTTGATAGTATCCTGTAGATTCCCAGCAGTGTTCTTTTAGTTTTCTAATTTTTTTTCTGACCGCATAATTTCCTGATTTGTCTTCTAAGTCGGATGTTCTTTCTTCTGCTTCACCGATTCTGTTAAAGCTTTCCACTGCATTTTTTATTCTATTGAATTTTTCCTTTCCAAGATTTCGATTTCTCTTCAAGATCTGTTTCGTGGGAGAAATTTTCTTTCATGTCATGTATAGATTTCATTAGTTCATGCATTTGCTTCTGATTACTTTTGACAGAGTTAGACAGTGAGAGAGACAGTGAGAAAGGTCTTCCCTCCGTTGGTTCACCCCAAAAATGGCTGCTATGGCCGGCGCGCTGCGCTGATTCAAAGCCAGGAGCCAGGTGCCTCCTCCTGGTCTCCCATGGGGTGCAGGGCCCAAGCACTTGGGCCATCCTCCACTGCACTCCCGGACCACAGCAGAGAGCTGGCCTGGAAGAGGGGCAACCGGGACAGAATCTGGCACCCCGACCGGGACTAGAACCCGCTGTGCCGGCGCCACAGGTGGAGGATTAGCTTACTGAGCCACGGCGCTGGCCAAGGGGGTTTGTTTTTGTCTGTTGGCATAGACTCGGCTGAGCTCCTCTCCTTAAAGGAGACCAGTGCCTGGGTGCTAGCTCTAGTGGATATATTTGTCTGCTTTGCCATAAGGACCACACAAAGGATCTGTACTGTCCTCGATATAAGCTCATATTGCCCAGCAATGTCCCTCATCAGGGAACCAGGGAACCCTGACTGCATGGAGCCTCCCACCGTGACTGCCCAAAGTCACAGCCACACCCTGTGTCCTCCCATGCAGCCTCAGTGTTTTCACATTCCCAGCACACAAGCTTCCCACAGTTACAAGCACCCAGCCCCCTGTCTGTTCTCTCCACCAGACTTGGAAGTCACCGCTTGGCTGGTTGCTGGGTGTAGACATGAGCTGGCACAGCTATTACATATGTCCAAAATGGCACCTGCTCTACATTAGCCTGTAACAGGAGGCAGTTGCGGTGTTATTGGGGAGAGAGAAAACATGTACCCCTCTTTGTGTGTTCTCATCTAGTTTGGCAGATACACCTATCCCCCACAGGGCTACAAGCCGGATTTCCTCTAGACTCTTCGTGCAGATTTTTTGCCTGTGGGTTGGGCTGCTGCAGTCTGGTCCTGCCTCAGTCTCCAACGCTGGTGTGGAAGCTGTCAGCTGCTAGGGTCCTGAGTTGTACATGTCCTCACCCTCCATGTATGTCCACTGTGTCCCTCCAATTTACTTAGTTTGCTCTGCTGTTTTCTTCTAACTCTTTGAGAATGCACTCTTTGTACTTTTTAAAACTATCTTCTCCTAGACTAGAGCAGCAAGCTCCCTCCCTACTCCACCATCTTAATCCTCTCTGGTGTTTTTTGCTGTTTAATTTTTAGCTCGTCTTTTTTTCATTGCCTCTGTGGGATACTTGATCCCTGCTTCTTTTTTTTTTTTTTTTTTTTTTTTTTTTTTAAGATTTGAAAGAGTTACACAGAGAGAGGTCCCCCATCTGCCGGCCTACTCCCCAACTGGCTGTAATGGCCAGAGCTGAGCTGATCTGAAGCAAGGAGCCTCCTCTAGGTCCCTAATGTGGGTGCAGGGGCCCAAGGACTTGGGCCATCTTCCACTGCCCTCTCAGGCCACTGTAGAGAGCTGGATTGGAAGTGGAGCAGCTGGGACCTGAACTGGCCCCCATATGGGATGCCGGCAATGCAAGGAGGTGGTTTTATCCACCATGCCACAGTGCTGGCCCCTTATTGTGTTCTTAAGTACATCTCTTTGTACAACTTCTGATAGTGGCTTTTCTAGGTATTTGATACATATATAAACAGTCATAGTATACCAGTGGTAGCCTTTTTTTTTTTTTAAAGATTTTTTTAATTTGTTTGAAAGAGTACAGAGAAGTAGAAACAGAAAGGTCTCCCATCCACTGGTTCACTCCCCAAATGGCTACAACAGCTGGAGCTGAGCTGCTCCGAAGCAAGGAGCTTCCTCCAGGTCTCCCACGTGGGTATAGGGGCCCAAGAACTTAGGCCATCTTTTACTGCTTTCCCAGGGCAGGGAGCTGGATCAGAAGAGGAACAGCCAGGACTGGAAC